TACAACTGACAAAAAAAAAAAAAAAAAGGAGGGGGGGGGCTCCTGTTCCGGCTAGCTTCAATCCATAATCCTCAGATCTCAGTTTCCTGAGTAGCTAGGATTACAGGTGTGAGTCACCAGCGCCAGGTTTATAGCAGGACTTTTGAAGAATTTTTTCCCCCCTCTGCCTTTAAAAAGCTTTGAATGCAAACTGTAATGATTCTGTCCTGTTTTTGTTACAAGACAAACTCTACTCCCAGAGATATTGGCAAGAATCATCAGATCTCCTAAGTAGCCTAGCTAAGTACATTGAATAAATGTAAACACTGATATTTCTCAGTGCCCTACTGCATATTTTTCCCTTGGAAACCGGAAATAATACCATCAGGAAAAAATGACTTTCAGGCTTATGAGATCTGAAAACATGCCCAGGAATGATATTTTTGGCACTTTTTTTTTTTGTCGGTCATGGGCCTTGAACTCTGGGCCTTAGCGCTGTCCCTCAGCGCGCCTTACCACTTGAGGTACGGCACCACTTCCGGTTTTCTGGTAGTTTATTGGAGATAAGAGTTTCATGGAGTTTCCTTCCCGGGCTGGCTTTGAACCGTGATCCTCAGATCTCAGCCTCCTGAGTAGCTAGGATTACAGGTGTGAGCCACCGGCGCCTGGCTCCGCTTTTATCTGTGGTACATTACTAAATTTTATGCCTTGGACCTTAGAATAAGGTCCTATTATTTGATCTTAAAAGTTCTTCTGGTTTTATCGGTATGCATTTTCTTCTTTAGCTCCTTCATTCATTGATTTATTCATACAGGTAAGCCAAGCGCTGTTGTCTGCCCTTTTTACTCTTTTTGTCACATGTTGTCTGTCCAAAAGTTTTAATTATAATTTATTAAAAGAAAGGAAAGGTAATGAAAAATATTAAAGTTTCTAGTCTAGGAAAATAGCTAAGTGTACCCACACCTTAGAATATTATATAGCCAAAAGAATTGGTAACATGGGTTAATGTTTATAATTCAGTCAAGTACAGAGTTATACAATTAGTTATATATCACATATATGCACATATACGCTCACACATATCAATACTGGGTCTTGAACTCAGGGCCAGGATGTTGTCCCTCAATTTTTTTGCTCAAGGCTGGAGCTCTACCACTTGAGCTGCAGCTCTGCTCCTGGCTTTTTGGTGGTTAATTAGAGGTAAGAGTCTCATGGACTTCCCTGCTTAGACTGTTTTTTGTGTTTTTTTTTTTTTTTTTGGTCGGTTGTGGGGATTGAACTCTGGGCTTGGGCGCTGTCCCTGCGCTCTTTAGCTCCAGGTGAGCGCTCTACCGCTTGAGCCACAGTGCCACTTCCAGTTTTCTAGTGGTTTATTGGAGATAAGAGTCTCATGGACTTTCCTGCCCTGGCTGGCTTTCAACCTCGATCCTCAGATCTCAGCCTCCTGAGTAGCTAGGATAACAGATGTGAGCCACTGGCGCTTGGCTCAGACTGGTTTTGAACCATGACCTTCAGATCTCAGTCTCCTGAGTGGGATGACAAGTGGGAGACACCACTGTTAAGCTTTCTTTAGATTTTTATAATGGATATATGTCAGGGAGGAGAAATAAACTTAAAATGCTTTATCTTTTGTTTTTAGACTATAAAATGCGGAAATTTTAACTGTTGAATTTTAAAATCTGATAGTAACCAAATACTCATTATTAAAGAGTAGGAATTACAGAAGGCCTGTAATTAAGAATTCATTGTGAAGTTTCAGTTATTTTTGTATTTATGTACAAACATCTGAGTTGAGTTGCTTACTGAGTGTTCAGGGGGAGGATGTCAGTGTGGGCCGTTTTGTGAATGTATATACAGTAGTTGGAAACAGCCCTTGAAACTTAGTCTTTAGTCGTAGTTATTGAGCCTGTTGCAATCTTCTTGCAGGAGAATGACATCTTCCTGGGCTGGGAGAAAGGAGCTTATAAGAAATGGGGAAAGAGTAAGAAAAAGTGTTCAGATCTAACACTAGAAGAAATGAAGAAACAGGCTGCTGTCCAGTGTCTTCGATCAGCTTCTGATGAAGTAAGCTCACTTGTCATTTTCAATTCCTACAAGAAGCAAGAGAAAAGTGCCTTAACACAAATAGAACAGCCTGCTAGAAACTTCAGAAATGAACTGTGCATTGCCACTGTAACATGTGAACATTACCATTTGTTCCTTTTGAAGAACTTCACATTTTAACTTTTAATTTCTTTCTTTTTTTTTTTTTTTGGTTGGTTGTGGGGCTTGAACTCTGGGCCTGGGCGCTGTTCCTGAACTTCTTTTGCTCAAGGCTAGCATTCTACTACTTCAGCGATAGCACCACTTCTGACTTTTTTCTGTATATGGTACTGAGGAATTGAACCCAGGGCTTCATGAATCCTAGACAAACATTCTATATCACTAAGCCACATTCCCAGTCCCATGTTTTACTTTTAAAAATCTTCATTGAAAAGGTGATGAGCAAGGGGGTAACAGTTACACAGGTAAGGTAATGAGTACATTTATTTATTTATTTATTTTTTTCTTGTCATGAGGCTTGAACTCTGGGCCTGGGCGCTGTCCCTCAGCTCTTCAGCTCAAGGTGAGCATTCTACCACTTGAGCCACAGGGCCACTTCCGGTTTTCTGGTGGTTAATTGGAGATAAGAGTCTCATGGGCTTTCCTGCCTGAAATGGCTTTTAATCACGATCCTCAGATCTTTGCCTCCTGTGTAGCTAGGATTACTGGCGCGAGATGCTGGCGCCTGGCTTAGAGTACATTTGTTTTTAAACACTGTTACCCTATCCCTCATTTTCTCCAGCTTACCTTTCCCTACTCCCCTCCCCGCAAGTTGTGAAGTTCATTTCCAACATAGTGAGTATCAAAGTGAGTATCAATGTTGCATTAATTAGTTCATCCTTTGTACTGCTATTTCTGTGATTCCCTTAGCCTTCCACAGATGGAATAAACTTATATACAAGACACAAGGTACAGAAAACTTAAGAGACAAAAAAAGAGCAATAGCTACATACAGGACAGAATAAGAACCTCTTTTTTCCAATTCTTGGAGTTCATGTTGATAAGTGTTTTGTTTTTATAAAATGTATTTGTACTTACACACAGTTTTATTTGTGAGTGTGTGTGGTGTCCGAGATCAGACGCAAGACCTTGCACATGCTAAGTAGGGGCTCTGCTTATATCTTATCTTGCTCATTGAAGGCAAGGACTGGGCATTACCCTTGTGCTTTGTTTTGCTCTCTTAGGGCCTAGCAGAGTGAATGCCTGTCACATAGAAAAAGTTACTGAAGCCGGGCGCTGGTGGCTCACGCCTGTAATCCTAGCTACTCAGGAGGCTGAGATCTGAGGATCGCGGTTCAAAGCCAGCCCGGGCAGGAGAGACCGTGAGACTCCTATCTCCAATAAACCACCAGAAAACCGGAAGTGGCGCGTAGCTCAAGTGGTAGAGCGCTCGCCTTGAGCTGAAGAGCTGAGGGACAGCACCCAGGCCCAGAGTTCAAGCCCCACGACCGACAAAAAAAAAAAAAAAAAGAAAAAGTTACTGAATTTCTTCTTGAACTGAGTTGAAGTTTCACTTGTGTGTATGTGTGCTGGTCTTGCGACTTGAACTCAGGGCCTGGGCACTGTCCCTGAACCTTTGTGCTCAAATCTGGCACTATACCACTAGAGTTACAGCTCCACTTCTAACTTTTTGCTGGCTAAATGAAGATGAGAGTTTTGTGGATGTTGCTGCTTGGGCTAGCTTCATACCATGATTCTCAGATCTCAGCATCCTGGTCAGCTTACCTTTTTCTGTGTGTGTGCTGGAGCCTAAACTAGGGTCCTGAATGCTGTCTCTTTTTTCATTCAAGGTTGGCACGCTATCACTTGAGCCAAAGCTCCCACTTCCAGCTTTTTGGTGGTTAATTGGAGATAAGAGGCTCATGGATTTATTTGTCTAGAATTATAGGCATGAGCCACCTGGTGAAATTTCACTTTTTAAAAATTGACTCTTCTTTCAGGAGTGCTCTTCCATCTTCCAAATGTTTTCCTCTCCTTTCTCCCTTTGACCTTCCCCCCCCCCCTTTTAAATTTCTGAATTAGCTGAAGCTATTACTGAATATTCTTGTTGTATAGAAATTTAGAAATGACTGGTTATATGGATGTCTTAATCAGGTATCATTTCATTACCACAGGAGAGATTTTAATTAAGCTAATTTAAGAAAAATAGGATACATGTGTGTGTGTACATGCATGCATGCATACATGAATACAAGGATATCACACTGAAATCAAGATGGAATGTAGTGTTCTCAGGAGAAACCCAAGCTGGGCACAGTATGATAAAATCATTTTCTCTAAGTACCTACAGTCTCTCATGTGTTTTTCTTCTACTTTTGGGTCATTTCCTTGCTTTCAGAATTCTGTTTCTCCACCTTAGCACACACATGGTATAGGCTGGCCATTCCAGCTCTGGCTGGACATGACTGCTAAGCCCTGGTATCCACTACTGTTCACCACAGAGAGAAGTGGGGCTAGGTGTCCATCCCTCCCTGGATGAACTGTGGGTTGGAGGGGCGTTGGGTCCCCCCTTCAGCAGAGACATGAGTGAGTAGTCCACCGAGAAAAGGTGGTCAGTTACCTCCAAGTATTCTGATCATGGTACTGAAGGAGCAGATTGATAAAGTAAATTGGAGCCTCTAAAACAATTCAGAATGCAGGGCTGGGAAGGTGGCTTAGTGGTAGAGTGCTTGCCTAGCATGCATGAAGCCCTGGGTTCGATTCCTCAGTACCACATACAGAGAAAAAGCTGCAAGTGTGCTAGCCCTGAGCCAAAGAAGCCAGGGACGGTGCCTAGACCCTGAGTTCAAATTCTAGGACTGGCAAAAAAAAAATTAAATTCAGAATGCAGCTGGTCTTTATAAGTGAGAGGTTATTTCAGGTAAATTTTCTGAGCAAAATCCAAGGAAGTTGCTGAGTCATGTTGGAAGGAAAGTATGAGCAGGGCAGCCTCAGTCTGGGAGTGCATCTTACTTCTTCTGACCAGAGTTGCTGAGAAACTGGCCTTTGGTTTATGGTTAAGCTTGTGAAAACAGGGTAGGCGAAAATTGTGGAGGAGGTTGAGAGTCTTATCGTGAGACCTTTGCACATGCAGTTTGTGTAATTCCTATCAGCTGAGCATGTTGCGAGCTGAAGAGCGGAGGCGGCAGCAGTGCAAGGGAGGGGAATGCCTGCCACAGGGCCTTCCGTGACTGTCGTGGAGCAATACTTGTACTTGCCCTGTTGTAATAGGAAGGATTGTTATTTCAACACCAGTCAACAGGGTTGTCCTCTTTCTTTCCTTAAAAAAAATATAATTTCATTACTTTTTCCTGATAGTTATTTTGAAAATTGTCATGAAATTTCAGTTTCCTGAGGTGATGAATATGCAGACATATACCAGGTACTCAGTGAACCTTTGTGGAAGAAGTTATAAGTCCCCACCTTGAAGCCAGGTGCTGTCGGTGCTTCAGTGCAGACCCTGTGAACCAGCTGTCTGGGCTCATGGAAGTTGGAGTGAGTAGAAAGAACCTGAGTGCCAGTGCATGGGTTGTAGGCTGTGTCCTCTCACAGATCTTCTCTGTAGAATCTCTTGCACAGATTTCTAAAGAAAAGATCCAGGAGAATCTAGGTAGGACATTATAATGAAACAGTGTGTATCATGGTATTTTGTCACCACAGTGAATGGTTTTGGTAGGTTTATTGCTTGTTTCCTCACTACTACGGATGGTCATGTCCTTCATATTGGGCTGGGCTCTCTGATTCAGTCAGGTGTTCCCCCTTAGAGGTCTTCCAAGGACACTCTGTCATCAGTATCACTCACCACAGTCAAAACCACTAACAGGGGCTGGGAAGGTGGCTCAGTGGTAGAGCGCTTGCCTTGCATGCATGAGGCCCTGGGTTTGATTCTTCAGCACCACATAAGCAAAAAGAAAAAAGCTGGAATTGGCGCTGTGGCTCAAGTGGTAGAGCACTAGCCTTGAGCTGAAGAGCTGAGGGACAGCGCCTAGGCCCAGAGTTCAGGCCCCAGGACCGGACCCAAAACAAACAAACAAAACCACTAACAGCTCATATTTGTGAGTTGATAAAAATGCCAATGACCTAATTATAGGGCAGTAATATAGATGACATTATATTGCATATAGGGGTATAGTAGATTAGTAGTAGTGATGTGCATTTTATTTATTTATTTATTTATTTATTTTGTCAGTCGTGGGGCTTGAACTCTGGGCTTGGGCACTGTCCCTGCACTCTTCAGCTCAAGGTGAGCGCTCTACTACTTGAACTATAGCGCCACTTCCGGTTTTCTAGTGGTTTATTGGAGATAGGAGTCTCACAGTCTTTCCTGCCCGGTCTGGCTTTGAACTGTGATCCTCAGATCTCAGCCTCCTGAGTAGCTAGGATTACAGGCGTGAGCCACCGGCATCTGGCTGTTGTGCATTTAGATAAGACAAATTCTTGTCACTGTGTTAATGTGTAGTATTACTGTTACAGTGTGGACTGTTGTCTAACCACATCATTGCCAGACTCTTCTTGTATTGGTTTTTAAAGAGTGAAGCATTATAGCACATCTCTTGGCCTACATAACTCCATATTTTATATCTGAGAAACTACCAGAAAAGACTTCAACTGAGGTGAAATGTGTCACATTTTAATTTTAATTTTATTTTTATTAATTTATTATTTATTTTGGTTGGTCATGGGGCTTGATCTCTGGGCTTGGGCACTGTCCCTGTGCTCTTTAGCTCAAGGCTAGCACTCTACCACTTGAACCATAGCATCACTTCGGATTTTCTAGTGGTTTACTGGAGATAAGAGTCTCATGGACTTTCCTGCCTGGGCTGGCTTTGAACTGTGATCTTCAGATCTCAGCCTCTTGAGTAGCTAGGATGACAGGCATGCACCACTGGTACCTGGCTTAATTTTTATTTTTGTCAGTCATAGGGCTTGAACTCAAGGCCTGGACGCTGTCCCAGAGCTTTTTTGTTTAAGGCTAGCATGCTACCACTTTGAGTCACAGCTCC